TTGACACTGTAATTCTTAGTTCTACAGATTACTAGAAGACAATGTTTTCCACTGCATTTTGTTTAATGTGCTCCCCATCTCTTCTAGATCATAAATTCTCTCATTAAGCCCTTAAGAATTCACTATGCAACAAAAAGGACTGTAGTCTCACAATACTACTCTAACATAAAGTAGAAGGTATCAGTATCAAAACCTACTGCATGCACTCAAGGAAAAGGAAGCTGTACACAGTGCTTTTGAGTTCTATGTTCAACCTAACAGAGCTTTTATTTAAAGGCACATAGTCATTGTAAAGAAGAGCAACAGAAGAGCTGCTATAATTAAGTTACTGATTTTTATTTCAAAAACTGTAAAAATATCACAAGACAGTTTCTGGAGTGCAGTCTTGCTTCTCTTCCCAGGTGTTTTTTTGATTTTATTACGGACACTACAGAAGATTACAATTCCAATTCACCATTCCTACTGTTCAGACACTACTGAGCAAAAGCATTGCTCATGCTAACCATAAGCAACAACAAAAATTGCTAAAATCTGAGCAGTTCATATAATCGGGAGACTCAAGTCACTTGGGATCAAGCACCCTTTTCTTCTTGCAAATTTACTTATTTAAAGCCCATCTGATACCTACTCATTTTCGAATCCCTCTGAGATTTATCTCAAGGGATTTGAATTAATGTACTTAACAACCTGAATCCTGGAAGAGACACATTTAACGAAGAATAAACTATAGAAGTATACGACTTTTTTGTCCTAAGATGCCATGGAAAAGCACCCTTCTTAAAGCTTACAGGATCTTTTTAAATATTCTGAAAGTGTGACTGAACTCAGCAAGAATTTCTACATGGAAAATTTACTGACATACTCAAGTGCAGAGACCATGACTGTCTGCTTTTTGCTGTATTTCCTTAGGATGACGGTGGGAAGTGACTAAAGGATTTACCAAGTTCTCTCTCCTTCACATTCTGGGCATCAGAATGCAGATCACAGACCCTCCAAGGACCGAGATAAATGAAGGACACATTCTTCTCTGGCTAAATATATGAAACTGAAGGTTTTCCCAAGCTGGCTTTTGCTCTGAAAGATTTTTAAGGGCATAAATATCCACAACAAAATTACAGGGCTCAAAAGGATCTAGTGCTACCTTTGAAGTTTGGAGACAAAAAAATTTCTCCTCTGATTTTTCAGAAACATCCATATGAAGTTTCTTTGTTTCAAAGATGCAATAAAAGCAATTGCTGAAAACAAAATGCTGGACCAACTAGCCTATTTTGTTATTTTTATGTGCTAGCAATATTTTAGGAAAACTGTAACCCAATTAGAAATTTAAGGGTAAGTTGGTAGGAATTTACAGTATCAGGAAGGATCTTTTGACTAGGCCATAGCTGAAGGGAAAAAAAAACCCAAAACCTTGAGCAGTGCAATCATTTAATTAAACCAGAAGAAAGACTGTAATTCAGCACCAAAACACATCCCCTCAAGAAAAGAAATAACTTTGTTAAAATCAGAATTTCTGAGGGCCATTTTCTATTATTCCCAAAGAGAAAAATGAGAGTTACCAAGATTTCTGATGTCCTGGTATTTCATTTATAAGCCCTGCCATGGCCACCTCCAAAACCTAAGGGGCAAAGAGCTGCGTCTCTATATGTACAAAAACTGGAGATAAAGTGAACAAATTTTTTTTTTTTCCAGTTTATCTTGGGCAAATACACTTAATGCTGGCAATTGCAGCATTGAAATTAGCAAATGTCAGTAAAATTTCTTAAGATAGTAATGCATACAATTTTAATACAAGAAAGAAACTGAAGAAAAATTTAAGAAATTTAATAAAGAAATTGAAAATTATTAGGGGACTGTTTGGGGTGGGGGAGTATTCATCTCAATTCTTTTCAAAGTTTTACCTTGGTTAATTATGAAAAAAGAATCAAAACTGAACATTCAAATTTAGTATCAAGTAGAAAATTGGCCATCTCAAATTTACTCTTTCTACTGCATATAAAATGAATTCATCATTATGAAAATCTACAGAAGCACTACTAAGCATCCGAAATTTACTTATTTTCAGATTGCTTTCAGTCTCGGTCACTTCCTCTCCAAGAAAGTGAATAATAAACAGTACAGGCATTAAGTATGGTACTCTATCATAAAGTTAAGAGCTGCACAGTCTTTTGTATACTTGGTCTTAATATTTCATTTTTTTATTTTTCCACCTTGAACCCCCTAAGTAATTTTTACTTTTCCGTGGACAATTTGCATGCATTCTTGAAGGCCTGTATTTTACTAAGCTTTTGATAAGGGTAAAATAGTCTCATTTAGAATAAGTGTACTACAAAACTCAAAGCATGTGTTCTCCTCTATGATTGCTTAAAATCTGCTTCCTTTATTAGAATATACAGTTGGTTATGTAGCTAGAAAAGCACAGATAAGCATGTGAGATCATAGAATCATAGAGGTCTTTTCCAACCTAAATTATTCTAAGATGATCAAGTCCAGCCATTAACTTAACACTGCCAAGTCCACCACTAAACCAGCACCACATCTACACATCTTTTAAATAACTCCAGGGATGGTGACTCAACCACCTCCCTAGCCAGCCTGTTCCAGTGCTTGACAACACCTGCAGTGAAGAAATTTTTCCTAACACCCAATCTAAGCCTCTGCTGGTGCAACTTGAGGTCGTTTCCTCTTGTCCTTCTGCTTGCTACTTGGGAGAAGGACCGACACTCACCTCGCTACAACCTTCTTTTTTCAGGTAGTTGTAGAGAACAATAAGGTCTCCCTTTAGCCTCCTCTTCTCCAGACTAAACCACCCCAGTTCCCTCAGCCGCTCCTCATAAGAATTCTGCTCTAGACCCTTCATCAGCTTCATTGCCCTTCTTTGGGCACACTCCACCACCTCAATGCTTTTCTTGTAGTCAGGGGCCAAAAACTGAACACAGGATTCAAGGTGCAGCCTCACCAGAGCAGAGTACAGAGGGATGACCACCTCCCTACTTGTGCTGGCCACACTATTTCTGATATAGGCCAGGACGCTGTTGGCCTTCTTGGCCACCTGGGCACACTGCTGGCTCCTACTCAGCCAGCTGTCGACCAGCATCACCCGGTCCTTTTCGTCCAGGCAGCTTTCCAGCCACTCTTCCCCAAGCCTGTAGCATTGCATGAGGTTGTTGTGACCCAAGTGCAGGACCTGGCACTTGGCCTTGCTGAACCTCATACAGTTGGTATCGGCCCATCAATCCAGTATGTCCAGATCCCTCTGCAGAGCCTTCCTGCCCTCAAGCAGGTCAACACTCCCGCACAACTCTGTGTCATCTGCAAACTTACTGAGGATGCACTCCAACCCCTCGTCCAGGCCATTGATAAAGATATTAAACAGACCTGGCCCCAGAACTGAGCCCTGAGGAACACCACTTATGACTGGCCACCACCTGGAATTATCTCCCTTCACCACAACTCTTTGGGCCCGGCCATTCAGCCAGTTCTTTACCCAGCGAAGAATATACCATCCAAGCCATGAGCAGCCAGTTTCTCTAGGAGAATGCTGTGGGAAACTGTGTCAAAGGCTTTACTAAAGTCTAGGTAGACAACATCCACAACCGTTCCCTCGTCCACGGGTGAAGGGACCCTTGGTCCTGACCAAGGCAGGTCACCTTGTCACAAAATGAGATCAGGTTAGTCAAGCAGGACCTGCCATTCATAAACGCATGCTGCCTGGGCCTGATCACCTGTACATGCTGCATGATGGCACTCAGGATGATCTGCTCCATAAGCTTCCCCAGCACCGAGGTCAGACAGGCAGGCCTGTACTTCCCTGGATCCTCCTTCCAGCCCTTCTTGTACATAGGAATCACATTTGCTAACTTCCGGTAAACAGGGACCTCCCCAGTTAGGCAGAACTGCTGATAAATCATGGAAAGTGGTTTGGTGAGCACTTCCGCCAGCTCCCTCAGTACCCTTGGATGGATCCCATCTGGCCCCATAGACTTGTTTGTCTAAGTGATACAGCTGGTTGCTAACCATTTCCCCTTGGATTACGAGCACTTCATTCTGCTCCCTGTCCCTGTCTTCCAGGTCAGGGGGCTGGGTATCCAGAGAACAACTGGTCTTTCTGTTGAAGACTGAGGCAAAGGCGGCATTAAGTACGACAGCCTTTTCCTCATCTGTTGTCACCCTGTTTCCCTCATATCCAATAAAGGGTGGAGATTTTCCGTAGCCCTCCTTTTGTTGCTAATGTATTTAAAGAAACATTTTTATTGTCTTTTACAGCAGTAGCCAGATTAAGTTCTAGCTGGGCTTTAGCCCTTCTAAGATGCATAGATAAAACTAACGTCTAAAAAAACAAGACAGAAAATGACTTTTGTAAATATAGAATATACTTCCCTCACATTTTCTTACCAGCACAAAGGCATAAATTTTTTTTGCAAGTTATATGAAACACTAAGTCAGTTATGACAATTTCATTTTTAACACAACCCATTCCCTTCTATTTCATCTATCCTGGTTTCCTCTTTTCTGAAAAATGCACTTCAGCTCCAGCAAAAAGCATGACTTAGAAATATCCCATACAAAACTGCAATACTATTATTAGGGTACCATGAGAGAAAATACCCCAATTCTGTATTTGGAGATGTATTTAAATGTGTTAAAGATAAGAAGTATGATGAGTTTTAATCAAACCTTTCCACAGAACAGTATGTCAAACAGTAGGCAACATTAGTGACATGTATTGATTAATAGTGTCAGAATCCTTACAGCAAATCAGGTCCCTGAGACCAGATTCACAGGGCTTCTCACTTAGGAGGTTCTAAAAGCAATCCCCATTGTTTATTGAGAACATACTGAAACATCAGTAGAGACAAGCTTCCCCATTCTGGGGAGGCAAACAAATGCCTGTACACCTGTTTTTTAAATTTAAAACTGAGAAGAATGTAAATTTATGTGGCCTAACATATTGAGTTAAATTTTATGCTTCTTACTGAGATAAGGTACAAGTGACTATTTACCTTAGAGAAAGCAGGTATTTTGTTTTCTCTTTGAATGTGACTCATTACATGTTTTCTTTTCTCTTCTGATCGATATACCCTTACTTCTTCTTCTCCCTTTGCTGTTCTCCATTCCTCCTGCCTACTGAAAAAAGAAAATTGAGATGTTAACTTTAAAGCAAAATACTACAACTTAGAGGATCTATTCCAAATCAAGGAATAAATGTTGAACATTTATAACATTCTTTGAACAGTACTTCTCTTTACAGTCAGAATGTGGCTTCAAAGTTACCCTGCCTGAACAAAGTAAGATGTCAATCTTATTTCAAACATAAACTGCTCTAGTTTTTTGATTGTGGCTAATAGGGTTTTTTGACTTACTGATGTAAGTATTCATCACAAGAGTTAATTACTGAATGAAATAATTTTCCAGTTAGGAAATTAAAATTCACCTCAGGCACCTAATGCATTAGGTCAGTGTCCCAGCTGTAAAACGCCATATAACGGCAGGAACAAATGGAGTTAAAATATGCTGTTATCTTATGCTACAAGTCAGAAAACATTGAGGCAGCCAGATCCCATTGCATATACAAATTAAATTACTCTGTTATTTGTTAAATGGTCAATTTTTATTCACAATACTTCTGTAATTCCAAGATTTTTCAAGTGATATGCAAATAACAACTGATTTCAAACTGAACCTGATTTTGTAAGAAATGAGACCACAGAACAGATAAATACCACACAAATAGTTCTATGACAATGTGAATTCAAAAACTGTTGAATTTAATGAAGTTCACCAAACTAAGATTCGCTGCAAACTTGGCCTCTGCTTACCTGGCCACACCAGAAGACAGTTCAGGCACTACAACCCTTCGACTCCAAGCCACAAGGTCCCGCTCAGTGGCTATTTCACTTCTTGGTGCGTTGCTATGCATCTGACGCACACCTTCAATTTGTCCACTACGTCTTAACCCTATATTTGGTGGTGAATGTACTTCCGAGGTAGAACTTACAGATCCTAAAAAGTCAAAAAGTGATAGCTGTACCTGATCTGAAATTCTAAGGGAAGCATTTAAAAAGAAAAACTGAAAGGAAAAAATAATTTCACTTGATTACTTCTAAAGAGGTCAAATATTAACTGAATCTAACTATTTCAGCAACTTCTCCAGTCACCACAACACACATACTTAAACAGCTACTGGGCTGCAGTACTCTGTTTCAAAATTCACATTCAAAAGGAGCAGCTGTATCAACAATCTGAAGTGAAGCAAATGTTTCATTGGTTTGCTTTTCTTTAAAAATGCTGTTGAAAACATTTACTGCACTCTATATCTGTATTATAAAACAGTGAGCTACCTCACTGAATCCAGTGTATTCCTTAAAACAGACTTCTACCTTCAAAAAAATGAAGCCCCAACACTGGAAATTATTAGGAATCCAAGCTGTAAAAATTTACAGACAAGGAACTGAAATGGTCAAATGAAAAAAAAAAAAAAAAGCCAACAACTGAAAAACCCAAACCCAAAACTAAATAAATAAAAACAACCACACACACACATGCAAGATCTTTCAAACACCTACACTGTAGCAAAATTTCAACTTTTTCCGCATCCTTCCACACACAAGCTATTCTTGCTTACTCAGGTGGATTGCCTACAACGCTTTTTTAAGTGAAGACTACCGTGTAATCTAGTGCAAGACACTGAAACATGTACTGAGAAACAAGCAGCTCCTTCCTCTTTTGTCCCCCCATCTCCTTATTTGAGACAATTCAGATTTCAATCAAGTAGACGGCCAATTCCAGATTAAACAGTAGGATAGTTACTTCTAAGGGAACACAGCTGCTGCAAATTCCCTGAGTAAGCAGACAGTAACTTTAACAAAGATAAACTTGTAATGTTAAGAATCCTGAGATTTTGCACAAAGGTAAAAAAGAGATGGGAAAGCTGCATTATTTTCTATGGCTCCATATCTCCTTTCTAGTAGTTCAACAAAATACACAAATCACGCGATTTAAGTCTTCCAACTCTGAGCTGTTTCAACAGAAAAGCCACAACACTCATCCCCAAGTAATCTACCTCTGCTTATCCGGCTGGTACTACTGGTTCCTGCCTCCCCAGAACGTCTCTGGTCCTGCTCTTGCTGAAGTCTTTGAATCATGCTATCCAACGGACTAACTTCCTGATTTGCTTGTTGACTAAGAACTTGATTCAAACCTGCGAAGCAAAAATATACAAGAGAATGACACACAAATGTCGATTTGAAGAATGAAATATTACAAACAGCTCACCTACGTTTTAGCTTTGAAACTTCTAAGTACAGTGTATAATCAAATGTGTAAGTATGGGTTAATGCATATTTTTGTAACAGCTGTTCTTTAACAGGGCAACTTTTTTCTTAATACTGTGAGCATTATATTTTCTGGAGCAAGGTCAGGATGATCACATGCTACTCCTAATAAAAGTTTAAATTGGATCAAATGCCAGCAAGTCACAGAAGCTTAATAATAGAACTGTTTGTCAGTTTAGTCAATGTAAACTGTTCAAATGCGTGCTTACCCTGCCCCAAATGCATTATAAAACACTCTCGTAAATGCATTATAAAACGCTTTAGTATAAACTTAAATGAAAGAACTACATCAAGAAGGTCTAACTGAATTAGAAAAGAATTATCTATACGGGAAAACAGCAAGTAGCAAAAACGCTTGACTGAACTCCACATAGGCATAAGATTAACACAGGTTAAGTAATGCTAATTTTCTTTGGTATGTAGAACAGCCAGGAAACCTCCTTTTGGGTAGGGCTCTTGAATAAAAGACAGGAAATAGTTCTCACAGAAGTGATTACAAAGGTGATAACACTGTTTCTGCGCAGCAAGCAAAAATACAGCATGTAAGCATAAACACCACAAAACCTCTTTTTGTAATCACTATGGACACACAACAAGTAAAAGAGGTATGGAAAAAAGGCAAGGGTTACAGTACTGATTTAAAAAGGAAGTCAGATACCTCCACATGGAATAGTTAAGATGGTGAAGTAGTGGGAAGCTCTGGTCAAGACAAGCAGAACTCGCAAAACTTTGTAATGAGGGATGACAATGTTCAAAGAAACAAGCTATGGAAATTATTTTTCCAACACGGTTCCAAAGAGATATCATAGTATAAACTGCACTTTGCAAGATCAAATACAAGGTATTACAGTAATTTTGCTATGAAATGAAGAACTTTGATTATGTGGCTAGAGAGAAGCAGCCATCTCTTAATAGATGATGGTACACAGAAAGAACATAAATATTTGAGATAGTGCTCTCAGAGTTTCAAGGGTACTGTAGTTGAGGTCAACTCCCTAAAGCAGCAGAAGCTTGAAATCATGGAATGAGCTCTGGTATAACCACAGCTGGATGTTTTCTGACTCATGTAGTGAGACAGATTTATTTGGTGATGTCATGAGCAAACATACCATCTACTGAAACAATGGGAAATACTACTATTAATCCAAGAATGATCTTAAATAAGGAAACTGCTACCTGAACAAAATTAATGTTTTTATGTATCTAGCTTGTGAGATTTTGCCTTTGAAAGTAATAGCAAGTTTTTTAAAAAAATGAAATAATAAAGACATTGGTATATATTTGATATTTTCAAAACATTTGGTTTAAAGGAGCTTCACGTACATCTAAGCAGTAAATGAAGCATGACTAACCTCAATTCCCCCTACTCTTATAAGCCCGTACAGAAAACTTAACAGGAAATAATGTCAGTGCTCTGAGGGAGATCCATCAAATCCCACAACAAAGTTTCAGAAAGAAATAGAGCTTCATTAGTGGAAGGGAACATATAGAATATATGAACACAGCATAGCTCTGCATAAGAGTGTATATATTGTTGCTAAACTGTAAAGAGGTAGAAAAATGTCTTCTGTCTCTCCAAAGATCTCTCTGGCTCTCTGTCAGCCTGGCTGATGGCTTCCTGCTGTTAAACAAAATGCTATAGACATCATCTTCCTACAGGCATTCATGTGTCATGCAGCCAAACCATTAAATTTAGTATTGTTGGGTCTATGTGCAGAGTCTAACTTGTTTCAAGCTATTATACTGGAGAATTTCAGAATGTCATGGGTCCAAGCTGTAACTGTAACAACAAAGTAAAACTGCATCCTTTCTCGGAAATCAAGTTTTGCTTCAAAACTACTAGCTAAAAAGTTAGAGATAAAACTTGGCATATATTCACCAGAAAGGATTTTTTTCCTTCTTACAGTTGCTTCTCTGGTAGCATTTCTTCCTGTAATTTTGGAGGATATATGGAAATGCTCCTTAAAAATTATTATTTAAGTATTCAGTGGCTTGTAATCATCAGGTCTACAAATGAGGATAAAGAGAACTTTTGGTAACAACAGTGTCAGTTAACCTTCCTGGAATGTCTGACCCACCACAGGCTTCAGTATGGTGTAAGTCACTATTTACAGGCACAGTCAGTTTTTCTGCATTTTCTAGAATACCCAAATACTTAACAATGCTTACCTTGAAAACATTTAAAGCTACTTTCACCAGTCACTGTTTGCTCATTCATACGAATATTGAACTAGTGACACGTAACAAGTAGGCATCGTTTTTACATCCTCACCCACATGGACCACATTTAGGCAGTTTCCAACAGCCAGCCACTGGCCCAAAATATGCACATTCCTCCCATGTTGTGTGCATGGAGAATACAACTTTTGAGGAACTTCCTAGATTTTGTATCCTCATCAAGTCTTCAGAGTTCTCTCACCAAACCATCAAAGCTTAAGCTGAATGACTGCCTTCATCTATAGAGGAGAATTTTGCATGTTTCAGGTGTCAGAATTCTCATTTTTCTCTTGTAGGTGTTGCCTGTTCCAATGGATCTGTGGAAGATCAGTCTATTTCCTACATTTCCTGAAGTAGGAAATCTTACCCCAAAGAGATCAACTGAAAGCTCATTCAGCATCGTGCACTGTTCAATAACAAAATGAGCTCCAAGCCAACTGGCGTTGTAACATCAACTAGTACTGACTTGATTGATGACAATACTGTAAGTGAAACTGTCACAAGCAATCAGTGCCAACGACATTGCAATTCTTCCACACTACATGAACTACAATGCCCGGAAATGAAGAAAAAAGACAAAGTGAAAGGGAAAGTGTAGAACACCTGAAGGTAACTAGATAGGCTACTGTGTACTGAAGTTAAATTTTCCGTACCTGAAGATGTCACTCCCATCTGAGGGATAAGCTGTTCCTCCCTGCAGTTCTCACGACCAGGAACTAGCCTTTGATACCTTGCAGGATGAGGGTTGCCATCCACATCAACCAAAAAAGGGGGAGGCATAAGGTGTGGAGCCTGCTGTGTCTGTTCATCCAGGACAAAGTTGTTGGCATCACGGATAAGGGGCCGATAATCACTATGAAAGAACATCTGATCTGCTATCTGTAAACAAAGTCATTTTGTAATTTTTTTAAAGAACCTATTAAAAAAAAACATACAGAAGATAACTGCCAAAAGTATTTTTAACAGTGTTACTCATGGTCCGTTTTGCAAAAACAGGGTTATAAGATGATCTGTTTATCTTAGTTTAAAGGGGAAAATTTAATGACTTCACGTTTATCCCCCACCCCCGCCCCCGTACTACTTCTCTGTATTATAGTGCAAGGAGAATAAGCCACATGTTTGAGGGTGGGAAGCATTTAAGGAATAGGGCAATATTTAACTACTTGAAGACGTTTGACAGAACACAGCATGGACATATTAAATAGGTTACAAATATTCTTCTATACTCCAAATATATGAATATATATTCTGATAATGAGAACTGTGTCACAGATGTACAAGCTATGGTGTAGGAAGAAGAGCAATACGAAAATACTTATCACATCATGTCATTGCCAAATATTGCCAAATATCAGTAGCCAAACATATCTAGCATTATTATAAAAACATATATGTGAAAAAGTTCCAGTAGATAAAATAAAGCTGATCTAAAGTTGAATTCTTCAGGCTCCATGTTTTCTTTTCTATTTCAGTCCACCTGCTCATAATTTATTCTAGATGACTTTCCACAGACACTCAAGACTAAGGAATTCTTTTGTCCAAATAGTATGTATAAAAGGCTTTTGCTCCATCCCTCGCTGGTATCTCAATATTGTGCAATCAGAAAGGTACTAAACCACAAGGAGAAACGAGAAAGAGAACACAAGACAAGCTGACACATTCCAACACTACCTACTGGCTAGCAAACCCCTTGGCAGCTCAAGTACTCAGTTTAACTCTGAACAAGTAAAACCAAAATCATAAAATCATCATTCACACAGATTAGATTTCCAGTGCAGCACAAAAATGATTAAACAATTGACTCAAGGCATAGAGATCCCCCAAAAATCCCATCTTAGGTGTTCAAGACACCTAAGCACCTATTTGAGCATGGACAGAGAAATGCCTGAGTTGTCACACAATATACTCTGATTTCTGAAAAGCATGCTCGATCATGACTAATCGATAACATAGTTTCCAGTAACACCTTATGTAGAATTCAGTAAGGCAGAGGTTATAGCATCTGCTCAGAGGTCTGGTCTCTCAGTAACAAAGTCCTCCTGTCTTGGATGTGAGAAGACCAGGAAGAAAAAATGATGACAAACATCTGTTAATTACAACATCAGAAAGTGCCTTCATGCATCCACATGAGGTGGATAAAAAAAGTTTTAAAATATCGTACAATCATGGGATCTGGATCTCCCAAAACTTCAGAAAAGTAACAAGAAGAAGATTGGAAAGATGCATGGAAAGATGCATTCGCAAAGATTTACTTCAAGGATTCAAAAGGTTACCCTTGCAAAGTGCGTATGGACAAGGTGACATCCCAACAGCAGTAAGAAGCCCTGACTGGCTGAAGTCGTCTTGTCAGATTCTCTGTTAACTTAACAGAGGCTGAATGAGAAAAATACAAGTACTTTCCTGCGTCTGACTGACAGAATCAAGGCCTGCTTAACAACTTTGTTCCTTCAGCTCAAATACATCAGTATGGTAAAGATGCAGGTCCTCTCAGAGGACTAGCGATTTTCCCTAGAATCATAATAGTAGAGTATCCAGTACTTTCACCTAGGGTAAATTTTCCTATTAAGTACTTCCCACGCTGATAAAGAAGAGATTCCAATGGCATGTCATACAGACTGAGAGTTTCAATGTGCTATGTTGTCTGCATCCCAGGTTTTGTAAGCAAAGGGAAGATATGAAAATCCTTCCCTTAGATTCAGTGACCTCTACCAGAATAGTCTGGGGTACAAGATCATGAGGGACTTCTTTGCAATTACCTTCCTGCATAATCTGTACTGCAATCAAGTATAGTAGAGAGAGTAAACAACAATTTTTTTACTCTATGAGATAAGAATGGCATTTCATGGAGAACCCAGGCTCAGACCAACTCGCAGGTGGAACACTGAAATGTCCCTACTGGGACCCAGTAAAACAATCTTATCCTCAGGCTACTCCAAGTCCTGAGAAAAATCAAAATAATTAGACATTTTGGAGAATCTTAAATAGCTATGTTAGTACTTTTAACTGGTTGTCTGCTGAACAATAGGAGCTATTTCTTGATATACTATTAGAGATCAGATTCATGACAAAAAGAAGATACTACACCACCATCAGGACATATGAGTCTTCTCTACGTATGACTTCACAAACCCAGCTCGGGTTTCAGCAGGAAAACTTTCCACAATGTCTGAGCTCTACAAATAGACTCTCCTTCAGTAACTACACTACACATTCAGAACACTTAGTTTCTCCAAAAGGGCACACCTACACAAATGCAAAGAGATTTTCCCCACTACTGCACCAATCCACCACACAGGAGCCATCAACTTCCAACAAAGAACTGTGGTTTGGACAGTCTATAGGAACTAAAGCCTTAGAAAGCTCAGAGATCTAGTCCAATCTAAGATTTAAAATCAACAGAAAGGTTCCTTATGCTTTACGACAGTTAGGCAT